TAACCATTCGAGACCTTGTTGACATGGTTGGAATATCATTTGGGTCGGTGCAAGCGATTTTGAAGGATCATTTGGGCCTCAGAAGACTCAAATCACATTTGGTGCCGAAATTTCTCAATTTCTTTGAAAAAGAGCGTCGCAATAAGGCGTATGAAGCAATGCTTTCTGACTATCAAGACGTCTACAAACAAATTATTACTGGCGATGAGACTTGGGTCTACGCATACAACCCTGAAACAACAGACCAATCGAATTGAATACCATGAAAAAGGCGAGCTGAGACCGAAGCAACCACGTCAAAGTCGCTCAAAAATCAAGGTCATGTTGACTGTTTTCCTTGATTATTGTGGTGTCGTGCACTATGAATTCCTTCCAACTGGCCAAACTGTCAACAAGGAATATTATTTAAGCGTTATGCGACGTTTGCGTGAAGCTATTCGCAAAAAGAGACCGGAATTATGGGCCAATAACTCTTGGATTTTGCACCACGATAATGCCCCTTCGCACACAGCACTGGTTCTTTGTGAGTTTTTCGCCAAAGACTCTACCCATGTTGCTCCACAACCACCGCATTTGCCCGACTTAGCACCGTGTGACTTCTGGCTGTTCCCAAAGCTCAAGAGACCACTCCGGGGAAATCGTTTTGAGTCCATTGAAGAGATCCAACGTGAATCGGTACGCGCATTGAAGGCTATCCCTACCAAGGACTTTTCGGCATGCTTCGAAGACTGGAAAAAATGTTGGCAAAAGTGCATTGGGGCCGGGGGGGGGGAGGGGATGATTATTTTGAGGGGGACGATACAGATTTGGAAGAATAAATAAAGATTTTTCATTTTATAAAAAAATTCACCTTAATTTTTGATCACAGTAGTATATATATGTACACCATAAGGAGAAGATAAACATAAACAAAAATAATTATAATCAAACTGATTGTTGTTTATATTCAGGATACATTAACCATAATTTTTTGGCATGTTTAATTGATAAATTTTTTTTGTAATTAAAATTAAATCTTAAGAAAAGCTATCAAAATGTATAAAACATTCATTTTCTTTAAAAAAGGTAAAAAAAGAAAAACTAATAAAATTGTTAGATATGATTTTAAAAAATTTATGTATTTTCCATTGTATTTGTATATATATAATATATACATATATATTGAACAGTATATATAAGTATGTATGTATATATATGCATATATAAATATATATAAATATATATATGCATATATGTAAATATATGCATATATATATGACTGACTCGCAGTGGAGTGCTGCTACATCAACTGAGGGTTTGGTATGGGGAAGCAATCGTTTCATTCATCATTCTTCGTTTTCGAAAAAAACGGTATAGCTTAAGGTAAGCAGAAAAAGTGAGCAAATGCTTATTAAAACACGCTTTAGTAAGTGCATATATATATATATATATATATATATATATATATATATATATATATATATATATATATATAAAATAAATTTTAATAGAAATTTGTCTAAATAAATTTTTATTTACTATAACAAAAATAAGTGTTCATAAAGATTGATTATAAAGTAGAATGTTCTATAATTAAACGTTATTTTGGATAGATCAAGTAATAATTAGATTATAATACAGAATGGTTTTAGACGGCAAAATCAGAGTAAAACTTGATTCTGCAAAATATTTTATTGGAAATTGAATGAAATCAAAACCACATGATAGACACGATAATGGGTTACTTAGGGGGTCTATACTGGCCGCTTGGGACAACTTTAAAATGGGAACTTTTTATGTTAGATTTTAGGATACTTAAAATGCAAGTTAGTAAATTTAAAACTTAGTTACTTGATGTGTATAACAAAAATGTTGGAATTTGAAGCCACAGATGTCGGCCTATATTTAATTATTTATTGAAATGACTCAACAAATGTCTAAATAATCAAGCCTTTCAGTAGCTATATTTAGCAGCTATTGTTTGTGCAGAAAAAAACCTGTTGTCTATTAAAATTATGCATGTATACTTTCAATATAAAATTAATCCATTTTCATGTTTATATGTGTATAACATTTTACAAATAAACTTTGAGAACATTTACTTTGCTATATATATATATTAATGTAGACATAATAAATATAACAGTTCCAAGGGTGTCAAAAGGCTCTTAAATTCCTTATGGTTGTAAAAAGTATTTTTTGATAAAGCAATTTTTTTTTGAAACGTCTAGCTTCTTTAGTATAAAGTATAGTGCCATTTATAGATATAGAATACATTGAAATTATTGATTGGTTGATAACTGGGTTTTATTAAGTTAAAATTCATCAACCACTGCAAACCTCAGCACAGAGTATTGATTAAATACGAATTCAGTTGCTTGCAGTAAATAAAAAAGTAATGAATTATATATGCATCATTTGCCATAAAACATTTTTGGAGCATCTTTATAAATTATAAAAAAAAGAATGAAAAAAAAAAAAAGAAAAAGATTATCAATAGAGATAAAAAGAAAAAGATTATCAATGTAGATAAAAAGAAAAAGGTTATCAATGTAGATAAAAAAAGAAAAAGATTATCAATGTAGATAAAAAGAAAATGATTATCAATGTAGATAAAAAAAGAAAAAGATTATCAATGTAGATAAAAAGAAAATGATTATCAATGTAGATAAAAAAAGGAAAAGATTATCAATGTAGATAAAAAAAGAAAGAGATTATCAATGTAGATAAAAAAAGGAAAAAATACTATATAATAAAAAAAATACTATGTCATGTTACTATTAAAACATCTAAAAATGAACAACAACTTTAATACTGAAATAGAGAAGATTCAATGCCACATTTTGTTAAAAGTTTTGGGGCCATCCATAAAGTACATTCACAGTAAAACCACTGATTAAAGATCTCCTCCCCCTTGCACACAGCTGTACAGCTTTCAACACCCCACCCCATATGACAGAACGGCTTAGTTATTATCAATCAGATTTGCATTAGAATGCAATTGAAAAACCGTGTTCACTAAAAATAAAACCATATCACTAATCAGAAAATTATTAGATTCATGGTATCAGATATCAAATTTTATTCAGATATCAAAAATTTGTTGATTAAAAACTTAAAGACTTTGTTAATGATAATAAAAAGAATAATAAGTTGAAGAATTATATTATAAAATTATTAAAATAATAACTTATTATTAAAATAATATTAAATTTAATTAGCTAGATATTAGTTAAAAAAAATCAGAGTGTTCTTTAAAGTTTTAAAACTTTAAAACTTTAAAAAAAGGAATAAAAAAATGTCTGACAAAAGATTAACCTTTTTGTTAGAGATCTTAGGAGTTCGATTTTTAAATTCAGGCAACAAACTTAAGAAAAAATTATTGGTAAACAATTCATTTACATTTGGAACAATTACATTGTAGTTATTAATATTATTGAAGATTTTCCAAAAGTCTCTGGAGTCTTCTGAAATGGTTTCAAAAGTTTTAGGAGATAATTCAAAAAAATTCTGAAGCCTTTTAACGTGCTTTAACACTTATAAGAAATAGATATTTAAAAGTAATAAGATTTAGCATCAGACATTTGATTACTGATTTTTAACATGATAAAAAGATATTTGTTTATAGAAGAATTTGTCTAATAAAAAAAATAATTACAATTTGAAATAGGAGTCAAGTAAGATGGGGCATGAATCTACAAAAAAACAACAAATTTTTAAATTCTTTCTTAAAGCCAAGAGGTACCATAAGAAACAGATTTGTCAGCAGAGAAAAAAACCCTTTTTTTTTTTTTTTTTTTTTTTCCCTTTTTTAGTTTAATTTTTCTAAATGGCATTTACTTTTAATATCATTTACATTTTGTAAATGGCAATGTAAATGTAAACTTTATGTCATTTACTTTTTGTAATTTATTTACAATTATAAGATGTTCATATATATTTATTACATAACTTTTGTGTGGTAATTAGAAAAACAACATACAAACAACAGCATTTTGCTGACAAAAGTCTCAGTTTTAATGACTAAAATTCACAGTTTCAAATGACTTTTCAAAGCCACAATCATGACTCTTTGTGCTCTGATGATAGAGCAATGATTGTCGCTTCTCTCGCTTAACAGGTTAATATGTATTTATAGAGTATGTATTAACTAGATTCTCTTTTATTTTAACACAGTTTATACTGGTAAGAAATGCCTAAATATTTTTTGTGTTTAATGCAACACATTCTAGTAGAACTGCACTGAGCAGTGAATGTTTTGGAGAAGTATAATAAGTTAAAAAGGGTGTAGTAGATTAAGATAAAAGTACAAAAGGGTGTAGTAGATTAAGATAAAAGTACAAAAGGGTGTAGTAGATTAAGATAAAAGTACAAAAGGATGTAGTAGATTAAGATAAAAGTACAAAAGGGTGTAGTAGATTAAGATAAAAGTACAAAAGGGTGTAGTAGATTAAGATAAAAGTACAAAAGGGTGTAGTAGATTAAGATAAAAGTACAAAAGGGTGTAGTAGATTAAGATAAAAGTACAAAAGGGTGTAGTAGATTAAGATAAAAGTACAAAAGGGCTGATGTCCAGTAGAAAATCAAAAGTCTCTAGGAAGAAGAGTATTAAAAATTAATCATAGTAAAATGTAGTAAATATAAATAAGAACAGTTAACAATAGTCAGGGATAGTTAAAGTCATTAATTGTAGTGCTACTGAAACGTTGTTAGTGTTGACGTAAATGTGATGTACAGACAGTGTCAGTGATGGAGCAGAATTATTTGTTTCATAAGTAGTTACTTTACGGTCTGTAGTATTAGTGTGATAAACATTTATTATAGATATATGCGTGTCATGGACGTCTCTAGGATGTTATGGATTTGTGCCTTATGGCACAGTATGAACATAAGAAGACCTCCAGCTTTCAGCCGAGATTATTATTTCTTATCCAATAAACATGCCTATTATTCATTATGGTGTGTGCTGTGTGGTGGTGTAACAATATGATGCAAAATAAAAAAAATAATTAAAAGCATACCTTAAAAAAGTCACTAATATTTATAGGTAGGCATCTTCCAACATACCGAATTTTAGAGCGCTCATTGGATTGGTCATTTGAAGTGGTTGAAAAACTTATTTGTCGACAAGTAAATAGTGCTAGCTGTCCAACAGAGCGGCGATGTTTATTCAAGTCTAAATTACGGCGGTATTGCAATGCAAGACTCCTTAAAAATCAAATGATCAAAAATTATTAAAAAAAGAAGAAACTATGAGGAAAAAAAAACAGACTTAACTACCTTGAAGAATGTCGCCATTTATCTGGAAAACTATTATTTTTGCGATATGCAAAATCTATATCTCTCTTAAATGATCGCTGTTTTTTTAACGTCCTCCAAGCAGTATATGCTAAGTTATCTAAATCCCGAGTGTATGTTATTGAAATTGGCGACTCTGAAAAAGTAGATGATAAACCTCTAGTCCCTTTTGTACCAAGCGATATTACAGAACCATCTCTTAATCTTGACGTTCTGAGCTGCATATCATTCGTACTTGAATCAGAAAGAAAGCTGCTTGAACGATCTTGATCATCATCAGTTGCAAAGCTACTTTTATCTCTATTTACTTTTGTTATATTGGTTCTACTATTTTCGTTAATATCTCTTAAACTATTTTTGTTTTGGTTATTAAAATCATTTATGTAAGTATTTTGAACTACACCAGGATCACTCCCTGTTCTCAAACGATCATTTTTATATGAATGTATTGAATTACCGACACTATCTGAAAAACTTGAACTACGAAATGAAGACTGGGTACGAGACATTGTTGAGCGATCATTTAAACTAATACTGCGATATCTACCTACATCATTGCCATTTTGAATTTGTGTCATACATGGACTTTGTGTTGGGGTTCGATCTTCACTATTTAATGAACTATCTGCATCAGGCAATCTCTTAACTTTTTTTTCTATTACTTTTTCATCTTTCACCTTTTCATCTTTTACTTTTTGATCTAATATTAAAGATTCTTCATTCGACAAAATTAATCGAAATTTTTCTTGGGTAGGAAGTTCTTGAGATTTTTCTTCCTTAATGGGCAATAATTGTTCCCCGTTCTCTGTTATTCGAACTTTTTCATGCAGATACATTTGACTATTATATGAAAGATTTGCTTCAATGGAATCATCAAGGGTATCATCATCTCCTAAAATTTAAAATAAAAATATTTTTTGACAATAAAAACATTTAAAACTACTGCATTATATAGTACACGTGTTATACATGCTCTTACCCTTTAGATGCAACCTACATAATAAATTTATACTGGAATAAAAAAACTTTTTTTAGAGGTGTTTAAGTCTCTTAAACATCAGACAAATCCCTAATATTATCAAGAAAAAAAGTTCTCCATTTTATAAAAAAATTATTGTTTTAAAATTTTTTTTTAATTAAAAATAAAAATATGTATTTTTACAAAAAGAAATTTTAAATTTTCTTTTTTTTCAATGTTTTTTATAAAACATATTTTTATATAATTTTGCTACTTTTGACACCCAACACGATATACTTTTGAATAACTTTTTTTTTACAATATTAGCGACTCATCTGATGTTTAAAAAATTTGAGCTACTCCTAAAAATATTTCAATTCCAATATTATTTTATTTTATAGAACACATTTAGAGGGTGGGAACAGATATTTTTTTAAAAAAGTTATTTTTTGGGATACCCTTATAAATAAATAAATAAATAAATATATATATATATATATATATATATATATATATATATATATATATATATATATATATATATATATATATATATATATATATATATATATATGTATATGTTTTAAAATTGAATGGTTATTTAACATTTAATTGTCTTTTTAAAAAAGCTTCCATGCAAAAGTTTAGAAACAACTGAACTTGATTAACATCTATATCAAAAAAACCGTAAACTTCTACTAAAATTCACATAATAAAAAATTTTTTAACAATAAAATAGTTTTAATAAAACACTCATCATTTGGTGGCATATCTATTTACCTCTAAAACAGCATTACAGCGACACTGAGCCAAATGAATGAGAACATCCTGACAAACATTATACCAACATTCTTTAATTGATATTTTATGTAAATTATGTCTCCGCGAAAGAAAACTTGTGATCTTTTTTGTTTTGTTTATTGTGAAAGTTTGCGTTATGTAATTTATGGATGATCCCATACCTTTTTAAAAATTTATCAGTTGTTTTAGCTGCAACTTTATGTCTTTTAGAGTGAGGTTAGCTTTCAATAGTTTTGCGCAGTCAAAATCTTTTCATAATGTGACTGGTTTAAAAAACATTGTAGAGCTCAAAATCCTGTCTGTAAGTCATTTTATTTCCCACACCTTTTATAATTAATTCCTTTATTTCCTTAGCTTTTCCCATACTTTTAAAATATTGCTAAGTAACTAAATTATAAAATTTTAATAACATTTTGGTAATTAGTTATACTTCACAGTCTTTGAAATATATCAAAGTAATTAAACTATTAAACTTCATAAACATCATGGCTATAAATTTTGCTTTAGTTTACAAAAACATGATTTAATTGCGGGGTATGATACTGTTGCTAAAGATTTGCACAAAAGCTTTTTCAAAAAAACAACTAAAAGTTAATTATAAAATTTTACAAATATTTTGGTTTATTATACTTTAGTGCCTTTGAAATATCTCAAAATAATTAAATTTCACAAATATTTTGGCCTAAAACTTTTCAATTTCACAACTTTTGTGGTTTATATTTTAAATTGAAATATAGAGTATATTTGGTAAAAATTTCAGTTATTTAAGCTTATAAGTTTGAGTCATGCATACTTTTTCAGTTTTTAGTTCTGTTATTGTGTATAAAACTATTAGGAAAAATATTTTCTCATAATATTTTGCAAAAAACTTGATTCTCTTGATAACGCAGGTTCTTGGTAAATTTGGTAAATTTTAGATTAAAATATTATATTTATTAAAAATTATTTCTATTAGTATTTTTTAGAAATGTAACGAAGGTGTATTGGAGGTATGAAAAAGGTGTAACATGTGACAAAGATGTATTGGAGGTATGAAAAAGGTGTGACATGTGACAAAGATGTATTGGAGGTATGAAAAAGGTGTGACATGTGACAAGATGTATTGGAGGTATGAAAAACGTGTGACATGTGACAAAGTGTATTGGAGGTGTAATGGAGGTGTTTTGGAGGTGTATTTTATTTTTCTATTAACAAACTTTGAACATCAAAATATATTTTTCTATTGTTTATTTTTTATTGTTATTGTTTATAAACTAAATGTTGTGATTATAATAGTATAAAAAAAATTTAAGAAAGATAATTGCAACACTGTATGGTTTTAAATTTCAATATTATCGATTGAAGGTCATTCGTATTTTTTTGTTAGATGTGCAATAAAATAGTAGTGAAAATCATTTTTTATGAAAAGGTCAAAAAATAATTAAATTTTATTTTAAATTTTTTTTTTTATTTGAAGCTCTACATTAGTATTTTGTGGCATGACCTTTATTTGTAATAACCGCCAAGCATCTTCGTTGCATGGAATTAATAAGATTCTGACATCGTTCGACAGATATATTTTGTCATGCTGACTGTACTACATTCCACAATTGATTACAACCTCTTTGATTATTTTCAGAAACTGCTTGTTTAACATAAATTCACAAGTTTTCAATCGGATTGAAGTCGGGGGATTGTGCTGGCCACTCCATCACATCGATTTTGTTCTCATTAAACCACGATTTAGCTAACTTGCTTGTATGTTTGGGATCATTATCTTTCTGGAACAAAAATTTTAACGGTATTTCTTCTTCAGCATAAGGCAGCACAATCTCCTTAAGTATTTTTACATATACAAACCGATCCATGATACCTTCTATGCAATGTATCGGCCCAAGACCATAGTAAGAAAAACAGCCCCATATTATTATTTTTGAACCTCCATGTTTGACGGTCTTTAATGTAAATTGTGGCTCATATGCTGCACCCGTTAGTCTTCTAACATACTGTTTACGAACATAGGAACCAAAAATTTCAATTTTGCTTTTATCAGTCCACAAAACATTTCGCCGTTTTTTCTTTAGGCCAAGATGCATGCATATGTGCAAATTTTAAATGATTTTCAATATGTCTTTTACTCTAAAGTGGCACTTTTCTAAATGTTCTTGCATTTAAATCGGCATGAGTTAATCGTCTTCAAATAATTGAGGTATTAAAATTTTATTCTAGCCTTTTTTTTTAATTTTTCTAGAAGTAATAAATGACTCCTTTTTCACTGACGATACAATTCGACGATCTTCTATAGCGGTAGTTGATCTTTTATTTCCAAGTTTTTCTGGTTTGGGTATCCATTTTAAAACATTACAAATCATTGTTGGTAAGCATCCAACCAGTTTTTGTATTTGTTTGTAGGCTTTACTTGATTTTTAAGATTTATAATTAAATTACGATTTTTTTCAGTATAATGCTTAGAGCGCCCCATGTTTCTCTAAATTTTCAAAATTTTAGTAAGTGTATAAATTTATCTAATATCAAAATTAATTACTTTTCTATTGCTTATTATTAAGAACTAATAATAATTAGAATTTAATAAGTACCGCAAATATTAGACAAAAATTAATTTTTCATTACTATTTTATTGCACAGTCTAAAAAAAAATACGAATGTCCTTCAATCGATAATATTGAAATTTAAAACCATACAGTGCTGCAATTATCTTTCTTAAATATTTTTCATACTATTATAATCATAACATTTAGTTTATGAACAATAACGATAAAAAGCAAACAATAGAAAAATATATTTTGATGTTCAAAGTTTGGTGATAGAAAAATAAAATGCGCACTACTATTTTACTGCACACGACTGTACTACAATTAGGAGCAAAAAAAGTTCCCTAAATACCCTTAACTTAGAAATAATTTTTATAACTGTTTTCAGATAAACCATAAGAAACGCGTGACAAATGTAATGTAATTGAAATTTTTCTTTTTTTTGCCGACTCAGAAATAGATGAATGTACAAAACTTTAATATCAAAACACTGAAAAGGTAGAGAAGGGGTGTGTCAAAGACTGGAATATATTTATTATGTTTTCTAGTATTTAACAAAAAAAAAAAAAAAAAAAAAAAAAAAAAAATTACCATCATTACTTTATCATATAATAGGAATTCTGAGCCACAATTTAGTATTTTATGTGATTTGTGGTAGTGAAAGGAATTCTGAGCCACAATTTAGCATTTTATATTTGAAGATTATTGAATTTTATTCCCATCTTAAACATTGTTGTCATTATCTGAAAAAAATGTTTTAATTTGCTAGGGTTTTCAGAGAGTTACTTAAAAAAAATATTGCTTTCTTGAATGTTATGATTGCTACACAACAACCCCCTTTATTATTAATGTTTTGTAAAGTTCTATTTGCACAACCGTTAAAGATTGCAATGCTATAATTTCCTTGGAAAGTAAGACCCAGTTCTCAAATTCTGTGAATCTATATAAAAAAAATAAAAAAAAAATAAAAAAAAAAAATTAAAATTAAAATAAAGTCAAGATGACTCCTAAAATAAGCTGGTGCCTAAAAATGGCAGTAAGATCCCAAAATATTGAGGAGGATATTTACAATGCAGTTCAAGACTATGGATATTGAGGATGAAGTTAAGAGGTAAATTTGGCATTTTTAATGGCCTATTTGTTAATTAATTTTATAATCAGTTTTTATTTTACGCAGGTAGATCCTATCAAGATACTCAATGCTAGGTGTCTCAAACCTGATCTAATAAATATTGCACTAATCTTATTGAATCACTGGGATCAGGAATAACTATAAAGTTGTAAGTTATTTTTACTCATTCAACTTTCAAACTATTACTCAAGCTTTTTTTTAAAAAAATCAATAGTCATACAAACATTCAATTCATTTATACTTGTACATATTTTTCACAGACGTTCATTTGGATGCAATGACTTGGTTATTCAATGTTTTCATTTAGAATCATTGGATTTTCCCACTAGTCAAAAATGGCTTAATTATTTACGTGGAAAAAATGTAAATAATCAACAAGAAAAGAAGAAATGCAGACAATCGATGAGCCATGCAGAGGGAGGAAGCCATGTAGAAGAATGAAGCCATGCAGAAGGTAATATTTATGTATC